GTCATAAGGGTGGAACCCTCATAAATGAGATTAGTGCCCTTATGAAAGAGATCCCAGAGAAATCCCTCCCCTCTTCTGCCATATGAGGACACAGTGAAAAGAGCCTATGAACCTATGAACCAGGAATTTCATTCTCCCCAGATATCAAATTTGCTGGTGGCTTGATTTTGGACTTCAGGGCCTCCACAGCTATGAGAAACACATTTTAATTATTTACAAGCCACCCACTCTATGGTATTTTGTTATAATGTTAGAGTAGGCAATTAGTTAGGTTCTAAGAGGAAAACTGGAGGTCAGTAACAAGAAAGTCATAACCACCTATTGGGAAGGTCAGAGGCCTGTCCAGGCAGCACTCCACAAGAAGCTGGATCAAACCAGACAAGCCCAAGATGGCAGGTACCATGACAGGAAACCTGACCAAATTAGAAAGAAAAAGCATGCTTCTCTGCCCCAAGTAATGAATATTCCACACCTTATTTTTTTTCTCAAATATTTTATTTATTTTTTCATGAGAGACACAGAGGCAGAGACATAGGCAGAGGGAGAAGCAGGTTCCCCACAGGGAGCCCAATGCAGGACTTGATCCCCAGACTCCCAAATCATACCCTGACCTGAAGGCAGCTGCTCAACTGCTGAACCACCCAGATGTCCCAATATTCCACCCCTTAGTTAACAACTGTCAATAGAAGATGGATAGAAATGCAACCCCTAGGGTGCACAGCTCTCTTTTTCTTCCTCTCTCTCTCTCTTTCACCTATTCTCATATCTCGAATGTACCTTTTGCTTTAATAAACTTTCTTGATTATGTCTCTTGTAAGTTGTGCTGCATGTCCATCTTTGAATTTATTCTCATGACAAGACCAAGAACCTTTGGGTCTGGCTGGGTTGAGGCCCCAGGGCCTGGGGTCTCCCCAGTTTACCTGGCAATAATAGGCTGAACAGGCTAAGACCAGTCTGATCCTATCAGGATGTGGATAGACCCTGGTGGATGACAAACTACAGATTGAAGATCCAAACTGGCCAGCACTTTTTTTTGTACATAGTTTTTACATTTTTACATCTATCTATCATCTATCTATCTATCTATCTATCTATCTATCTATCTATCTATCATCATCTATCTATCATCTATCTATCTATCATCATCTTCCTATCTATCTATCAGGGGCAGGGAGAGGCAGAGGGAGTAGGAGAAAGAATCCTAAACAGGCTCCATGCTCAGCCCAATGCGGGGCTCTCATTACCCTGAAATCATGACCGGAGTGAAAACCAAGAGTCTGACACTTACCTGATTGAGCCACCAAGGCACCGCTGGTATAAAATTTTCTAACATGTGAAAATTATGAGAAATTCAAATCCCATCTTTTATTTTATTTATTATTTATTTATTTATTTATTTATTTATTTATTTATTTATTTATTTATTTATTTATTTTAAGCGTTCTGGATTCTTTTTTTTTAAGATTTTATTTATTTATTCATGAGAGAGAGAGAGAGAGAGAGAGAGAAAGGCAGAGACAGGCTCCGTGCAGGGAGCCCGATGTGGGACTCAATCCCAGATCTCCAGGATCACTCCTGGAGCCAAAGGCAGATGCTCAACCACTGGGCCACCCAGGCATCCCCAAATCTCATCTTTTATGAGAAAAGCTTCATCAGAACACAGAAGGACATTTGCTCATTTCTGTATTGTCCTGCTGCTTTGACACATTACAAATCAGAGTGACCTGGTTTTCATACCACAGCGTTTCTGGCAAGTGCTGCTGCCACAGAGCTATGCTGGCAGTGCTGAAAGAATGACTAGATCAGGGAGTCATCCCAATATTCTCAACTCACAGGAAGGCAACAATCATGAAAACTAGAAGGCTTAAACAGGAATATCTCATCATAGCTAATTTTCTCCATAAAAATAAAAGTTGGAAATGAGGCTGCAGCCAAAGTAAGTTGCCAAAGTGGCTTGTTATTTTGCCACATGAGGAAAACCATTTACTGAGAGTGATTTAATTCGATCATGTTTGAACACAGGAGACAAAGAAATGTGCTCAGAGCATATAAACTTGTTGAAGATTATTAGCTTTTTTTGCTGGATGAATTCGGACGAGAAGTTAATTTCTTTCTTTTTTTTTTTTTTTGAGAAGTTAATTTCTAAAAATGCATAGCTATCCAGCAGAGGGCAGCATTACCCCACAGAGCTAACACCTTCATAGGCAGAAAGCATCACCTTCCAGGGGCCTGAAGTGTGGATTATAGGCTCATTTGCCAAGATTTGATAACCAATGTATTAGCTTATTTAATCTTCATGAAACCCCTGTAAGACAGGTGTTATTTTTATCCTTTTTTTTTTTTAATAAGGAAGCTGAAGCTCAGAATTTTTTTTTTTTTCGGAATGGTTAAGTCTAGCCAAGTCTAAACCGTTTGTCTGACTCTAGGACCTGTATTTTTATTTAAGAAAGCAATTATAAGGTGCTTGCTATGCACCAAGCATTGTCTAAGCACTTTGCATGTTTTCACTCCTTTCATCCTTATACTAATCCTAGGATTTAGGTACCATTATCATCACCCACATTTTCCAGATAAGGAAACTAAGATATGGAGGTTAACAATTTTCCTAAGGTAATTCCACCTGTCTCAGCCCTGCCCCAGCTTTCTGCTGATGAGCTCATTATGATGATAAGCCAGGGCTTCTCAAAGTGGGGGTTAGTGTCACCTGGGAGCCTTTTAGAATTGCAATTTTGAGGACACACCCTGGACTTCCTAAATCTGAAACTTTGTGGGTACAGCCCAACAATCTGAGTTTAACAAGCCCTTGAGGTGGTTATAAACCACACTAAAGTTAGACACCACAAGTTACTGATTCTCACCGTGGTCCTTCCACCCCAGTGCCCTCAATGCACACAAGTAAGTATATAACACACATCTGCCAGTTTATATACTTTGACTAAGGGATGATTTGAACATACACACATGTTATGTGTTGAGGCAAATGTGTTTGTGTTGAATCTGTATCGTGTCTTGCTTTTAATTACCAGGAGCAAATTTTCTGGGATGTGGTCTTAGGCTACCTATGTAACAGATTATTACAACAGCAATACCCTTTCTTCTTCCTGCCTTGTGCCTGTGTAGCTCTTTTCTCATTATAAAGCTTTTATTCCTTTTCTTATCATTTATCCTTATACACAGAAATGATGATTTCCAAACAAGTATCAGGAACTTTGTGACTTACTCTGAGCTAGCACTTTCTGAAAAAGAGATACTGGCCAGACTTCTACAGAAAGGCAAGGGAACGGTGCTGCTCTGTGTGGCCAGGACCAAGTGAGGCAGGCAAGGGTCCCACTTCTGGCAGGATAAAATAGAGAGCTGCTGGGGTCTGAGGGAGGTGTCAACTCCCTCAGTGAATCCCTAGCCAGGCTTCTGAAGGACTTGGTTACTTTGCATAAGGGGATAAGGAGGTAGGACATCACTGCAGTGGGAAGTGGGGACTGCCTGAGCAAACAGGAAATAGGAGGCTGTCTTTTCCTCACCTGCCCACCCCTGTTTCATTATTTTATTTTCTTTTTGCTGTTTATTGTCTCTAATCTTTTTTTCTACCCTTTTTCCTTTTCTGTCTCTTCTTTCCATCTTTGCCCTCTCTTTTTCTTTATCACAAAACTGAGGCAATTTGTACTGTATCAGTACAAATCCAATCAGGAGAGAGGAACCACATACTAATTTCAACAGGAAGGATTCTGTGCAGTAACTGCACCGCGCCCCCCCCCCCCCCCCCCGCCCCACCTCTGCCTTACCTAAAGTTTCACTTTCCACAGTTTTAGTTACCTGAGCTTGACTGAGATCTGGAAGCAAATGATCCTCCAGACATATTGTCAGAAGGTCAATAGTAGCCTAGCACTATGTCACAATGCCTGCATCATTTGCCTCAGTCTTATCACACGGGCATTTTATGACATCATCACAAGATGAAGAAGAGTGAATACAGTACAATAACATATTTTGAGAACAAGATCACATGACTTTTATTACAGCATAGTGTTATAATTGTTCTATTTTATTATTCTTGTTTATCTCTTACTCAGCCTAATTTACAGTTAAGCTTTATCACAAGTATGTATAGTATAGGAAAAAACAGTATCTATGGGGTCTGTTACTGTCCATGGTTTCAGGCATCCGCTAGCGGTCCTGGATTTTATCCTCTGTGGATAAGGGGGAGGGGACTGTTGTATTGATAATTATAGTGGTAATATATATATATATAATGGAATATTAGCCATCAAAAAGAATGAAATCTTGCTATTTGCAACAGCCTGGATGGAGTTAGAGGGTGTTCTGCTAGGTGAATCAAGTCAGTCAGAGAAAGACAAATACCATATGATTTCACTCATATGTGGAATTTAAGAAACAAAACATGAACAAGAGGAAGGGAAGGAAAAATAATCTTTTAGTTCTTAGACTTATACTTTGTCATGTCTGCCTTGCAGATGCTTTTTCTGAAGCTGATAATAATGGCATGACTGCTCAGTAGGGAAGGGTGTAATTTCTTAGAAGTTAAAGATATTTTATTTTCAATTTTTAAATTTAAATTAGATTAATTGGGATCCCTGGGTGGCGCAGCGGTTTGGTGCCTGCCTTTGGCCCAGGGCGCGATCCTGGAGACCCGGGATCGAATCCCACATCGGGCTCCCGGTGCATGGAGCCTGCTTCTCCCTCTGCCTGTGTCTCTGCGCCTCTCTCTCTCTCTGTGTGTGTGTGACTATCATAAATGAATAAAAAATTAAAAAAAATTTTAAATTAGATTAATTAACATATAGTGTATTAATTTTAGAGGCAGAGGTCAGTGACTCATCAGTCTTACATAATATCCAGTGCTCATTATATACGTGCCCTCCTTAATGTCCATCACCCAGTTTCCCCATCTCCCCACCCACCTCCCTTCCAGCAACCCTCAGTTTGTTTCCTATAATTAGGGGTCTCTTGGAGTTTGTCTCCCTAATTTTGTGTTGTTTCATTAAAAAAATATGGAATGCTTCACAAATTCACATAGCATCCTTGCACAGGGGCCATGCTAATCTCCTCTGTATTGTTCCAATTTTAGTATATGTGCTGCTGAAGTGAGCACAAGTTAAAGACATTTTAGCAACTTAATTGTGAAATGCATTTCCATCCAGAATTCTCCCAAAGTCATGGTATACCTTAAGGGTAGGATTCATTCTTCTGTATGCTTTAGGCTGAAAATCATACTGAGATCTGTATTAAACGATACCATCAGATTATAAACATGAAATTCATTTAACTGCTTGCTTTTGGAAATGCTCTGCTAGCACAGAGCAGTCAACTGGTCAAACATAAGCCCCTTCTGGGGCCTGGCACTGCTCTTGTCAATGAGGGTAAACAAAGTCTCTGCTGTTGAGGCTATCACTGGGCCAATGAGTAGATAAGTTAATGGCAGGTGTTGATAAGGACAATGACAAAGATAAAATAGAGTAACATGGCAGAGAGTGAGCGGTGCTGATTAGTTAGGGTGATCAGAGGAGGCCTCTCTGAAGAAAGTTATGTATGTTTAAGTTAAAACCTGAATAAACATCCTTGTCAAAAATTGGCCCAGACATCAACATTACCACCACCCCCTATCCTCAGCAGAACTGGACTAAGAGGTGGTCTCTCCACCTGCTGGGCAGTTGTCCAGAGTACTAATAAGAGGAACAATAGATCACTAGAAGAATTCAGCAAAGTGTGAATCAGTCCTTCTAACAAAGTTGGAGAGAACTTCCCAATGGGAATAGAAACTGCTGGTCAAAGTAGAGCTGTCTCTGTACCGAATTTCTGCACAGCTGCTTGCAGCCTCAGCCCACCAGCTAAGAAAGGGGAAGGGGGAGGGCTGATTACAAGGAAGGAGAGATTTCTTTTAGTAAATACTAACCCTTTCAGTATGTCTCTCAAGAAAGTCATTGCTTCAGAAAAATTATGAAAAAGAACCTGAGCTCTCACCTCCTAGAGTCTTTCCTTTAGGATGGGTCCAATTTTATTTTATTTTATTTTATTTTATTTTATTTTATTTTATTTTATTAAGATTTTATTTATTCATGAGAGACACACAGGGAGAGACAGGCAGAGAGAGAAGCAGGCTCCATGCAGGAAGCCCGACGACGTGGGACTCAACCCTGGGACCCCAGGATCATGCCCTGGGCCAAAGGCAGGCACTAAATCGCTGAGCCACCCAGGGATCCCCTGGGTCCAATTTGAGAAGTTGATGTAACAACTGGCTCACAAGGTAGTAAGAATAGCCACTTACAGGCCACTTACACATTTTTCTGGAACATTCTGTGACTTACCTGGTTGAGATCCTTTTCTTCATCCCCAGCATAAATGTCGTATCATCTTTTTCTTAGGATCAAAGAGGTGGTACATTTTACTATTATTTTTTGATGTGAAAATGTGAATTTAAAAATATGACAGCCAAGAGAGAAGGATAGACAAAAAAGGCACTTGAAACTTCACACTTTCAACTTTACCATAGTGATCTCTGCCTGTGGACACTGGGAATCTAAGAGGTCATCTCCTTGTGACTTGGCATGCATTTGTTTCCATTTTTGGACCTTTCATACTAAAAAACTTTTATTAGCACAAATTTAACTTTACAACTTAACTTTATATAACTTAAATTTTATAAACTTAACTTTATAAAGTTAATTTATCACTTAAATGTTAAGTCACTATTGGGCCTGGTCAATAGTGACCTCTCTAGCTAAGTTAAAACCTACCAATAAGAGCATGAGAATAAGATGTATTTCCTGAAGGAAGATGAAGCACAGGTTTACAGTGAAGCAGCAGGAAGAAAATCAATGAATTTAAACCACCTAGTACACTATTCTCATAAATCACCCTTGCCATCACTCAGGAAGTCAGAGATTTTACCTGTTGGTATGATCCAAATCATTCCCATACTTTTCCAAGCCTTTCCTAGAGGTCTTTTTTTTGGCAATCTTTACTGGATTGCTACTGGGTACCGCTACAGTTTCCCACTGACCAGTATTATGGGCTAGGGAACTAAGAAACATTCAGTAAATGGAGTGGCTTTCAGCCATAGAACTTTATTCTCAGTGGGTAGCAGTAGCCTAATTTCCACCTAGTAATCAGCATCAATCATCGTGGTTTATTCTCTGCTTTTTGTTTAGTGACCCAAAGATCCCCAAATGGGCAGGGCAGTCTCCGTTTTCACTTTCATTTTTATTTGATAAAAAAAAAAAAGCAGGAGGAGAAGATTACAAGGTTACAAGGAAGGTAATGCTATCTTTTGATGTTCAGATATTCCTAATTTTGATTTACTCCAATTTGTAAATGTGGTTAGTGCCATTTGTATCCATTAGGAAATTATTTCCTGCCCCAAACCATGAAGATATTGTCCTATATTTTATTCTACAAATCTTTACTGCTTTTCTTTTTTACATTTGTAATTCACCAAGAATGATATTTTTGCATATTATTTGAGTAGAAATCAAGTTTTCTTTTTTTAAGATTTTTATTTATTTATTCATGAGAGACACACACAGAGAGAGAGGCAGAGACAGAGGAAGAAGCAGGCTCCATGCAGGGAACCTGATGTGGGACTTGATGTGGGACTTGATGTGGGACTTGATCCCGGGTCTCCAGGATCACACCCTGGGCCAAAGGCAGGTGCTAAACCACTGACCCATCCAAGGATCCCCTAGGAATCAAATTTTATTCCCCTCCTTATTAATAATACATAATTGAACCACAGCTCTTTAATGAAAAGATTGTCCTTTCTCAACTTTTTGCAGTATCTCCAGTCATAGATCAAGTGTTCAATGGAAGGATGGGTCTGTTTCTGGAATCTCTAATCTTTCCATCAGTTTATTTGTCATATTTATTATATCTTTACAACAAATCTCTATACACAGACTGTTTGTCCTCTAACTATGTCCTTCTATATTTCCTTAGTTACCTTTGTCTTTTCTATTTCCATAAATTTTAGAATTAAGTTTTAAAGTCACACAAATAAAAATAAATAAATAAATAAATAAATAAATAAATAAATAAATAAATAAATAATAAAGTCACACAAATACACTCACTATGACTTTACTTGAAAGAGCTGTGGATCCTATACATAAACTTGGTCTTTACCATATATTGACTCTTTCAAATCTTGGGCATAGTATATTACTTCTCCCCATTTATTAAGTTATCCTTAATACCTCTCAATTATATATACAGTTGTTGTGTTGCTGTTTTTAAGTAGGCTCTATGTGGAGCCCAATGCAGAGCTTGAACTCACAACCCTGAGATCAAGAGTCAGACACAACCAACTTACCCACCCAGGTGCCCCTAACTCCTCTCAAATTCCTCTCAAAACATAAGTTTTATACATTTTGTGTAGAGATTTTGTATATTTTTTAAAAAGATTTTACTTATTTATTCATGAGAGGTATAGAGAGGGGCAGAGACACAGGCAGAGGGAGAAGATCCCTGCAAGGAGTCTGATACAGGACTCAATCCCAGGACCCCGGGATCATGCCCTGAGCCAAAGGTGGATGCTTAACCATTGAGGCACCCAGGTGCCCTGAAGTTTCTTTTTAAAGGCTGCTATGACAGCCTTTCTCTGTGTGTGTAATTTTATTTAAGTGCTTGTTGCTGTTATAAACAAAATATAGATTTGATTCTTGCATGATGACTTTAAATTCAGTGACTTGCAAAAGATTATATATAGATTCGTTTGGATTCTCCTTCATCTCTGTCTTTGTTTCTCTGTGTATCACTCTATATACGTAATTATTATTATTACTTAATATTCTTGTTAATTAACTTCCTTAAATCAACTAGGACCTGCCCTGTGATGTTAAATGGAGTTATAATAATGAGCACATTTGAGTTTTATTTTGTTTGTTTTTGTCAGAATAGGGAATTTTCTTTCTATTTCTAGTTTGCTAAGTTTTTTTTTTTTAAAGATTTTATTTATTTATTCATGAGAGACAAAGAGAAAGAAAGAGAGAGAGGCAGAGACACAGACTTCATGCAGGGAGCCTGATGCAGGATTCAATCCCAGGACTCCAGGATCACGACCTGGGGTGAAGGCAGGCGTTAAACCACTGAGCCACCCAGGGAATCACCTTAAGTTTCTTTCTTTTTTTAAAGATTTTACTTATTTATTCATGAGAGATACAGAGAGAGAGAGGCAGAGACACAAGCGGAAGGAGAAGCAGACCTGGGACTCGATCCGGGGTCTTCAGGATCACGCCCTGGGCTGAAGGCAGGCGCTAAACTGCAGAGCCACCCGGGGTTCCCAAGTTTCTTCTTTTAAAAAGGAAATCACGGGATCCCTGGGTGGCGCAGCGGTTTGGCACCTGCCTTTGGTCCAGGGCGCGATCCTGGAGACTGGGGCTCGAATCCCACGTCGGGCTCCCGGTGCATGGAGCCTGCTTCCCCCTCTGCCTGTGTCTTTGCCTCTCTCTCTCTCTCTATCTCTCTATCTCTGTGTGATTATCATAAAAAAAATAAAAAGGAAATCACTAATAGGGTACTCCAGGTAAAGATGACTACGTTCAGCCCATCTGGTAAACTTGCCCAGATTGGCTATGCTAGAGGAGCTTCTTCAGTAGAGGAATTAAAGCTGTAAGTGGTGTGGTTTTAGCAACTGAGAAGAAACAGAAATCCATTCTGTCTGATGAGCAAAGTGTACACAAAAGTGGAACCAATTACCAAATGCATAGGTTTGGTGTACAGCGGCATGGGCCCCAGTTTACAGACTGTTCCAGTGCAGAGCTCGAAAACTAGTTCAGCAACACTATCTCCTTTCCCAATAATTCATTCCCACAGCCCAGCTGGTATGGAGAGTGGCTCTTGTGATGCAAGAATACACTCATTCAGGTGATGTTCATCTACTTGAAGTTTACTAATTTGTGGTTGGAATGAGGAAAGATCATACTTATTTTAGTCATAGCCATCTGGAGCTTACTTTGCCTAGAAAGCCACAGCAATGGTAAAGAACTATGTGAATGGACAGACTTTCCTTACAAAAATATAACGAAGATCTAGACTTAAAGATGCCATTCATACAGCTATATTAAATCCAAAGGAAAGCTTGAAGGGCAAATGACTGAA